TGTTTGCTATGTTTTTTAATATAATAGGTCCAGTATACAATAGAAACTGTCGTAATTCTGTGACTTTATAATATTCTATGTCTTCCAGATTTCTTGGTAATCGTGCAAAATCTATTGGCAAATAGTTTCCAAATAATAATAATTCATAATTAACTTTTTTTTATCACTTTTAGACAAATATTTTTCCCCCTTTATATTTAAAAATGTTATAATCTGTTTCATAACCCCCAGATATACAAAGTGCATACTATCAAGAGAGTACTTGAGAAATTAAACCCATATTTAATTTTTCAAAAGGACTTACACCTTTATGAAATTCTTTGTCCAATTTATTTTGAAAACTTATATCATTCCTTAACTATTCATTGTTCTTTAAAAATACAATTTTGCCATTAATAAAAATTCCTTCTTCAGTACATTTAGTACAACTAGAATAACCTGTGTGATCTTTAATGTATAAAAGAAAAGATTTTGCTGGAGCATCGCAAAGAAGTTTACTAATTTTTGTAGTAAAAGAGTAGTGAGAATCAGCGCTGTTTACGGTGTGCAATTTACATTCTTTATTACAGTTTAAAAATGTATAACATACGTTTCGATTCTAGTTTGAGTCATCCTTAGTGTATACAGAAATTAAAGATACAGTACCATGTTCCGACGTGTTCACTAATGTTAATTTTGCTAACTCTGTTGTGTGATGGCGACTTGCGCGGCATCTGATTATGATGAAGTAAACTATGATAAGATGCGTGAGCCAGGCAGTCGCCATGCGAGATCGTTCCCGTAAGGTCATGTAACGTCTTACCACAATAAATATGTGAATCTTACACATGTGTCTGTCAATTTTTTTATAACAATGTATTATATCTTAAAACATGGTGTCAGAAGTAAAAGTGCAAAGTATTAACAAATTAATGGCTCTCATTTAATTACTAGTCGTATCAAAGTGTTTGAAAATAATCAAAACAATCGACATGGCTATTCAAGTCAAGGCTATTGTGCCTCCAAACATAACGATTCCCTCTGAATTTGATTTTACAAAACCGGAATATAGTCTACGTGAATGAAACGTTTTGACCGCTACATAACAGTGGTAGGTCTTTTCGAAAAACTGGATAACGAAAAAATTGATCTCTTATTATATACCATGGGCGAAAAATCTGAAGAAATATCGTCGCAGATTTATCCGAATGTGCCTGTCGATGCCACCCTCGTAACTGTGAAAGAAAAATTCAAGACGTACTTTAAATCCAAGAAAAACGTCGTTTTTGAACGATTCAAATTTAATTTACGTGTCCAGCTTCTGGATGAACCCATTGACTTTTTTATCACGGTTTTATATACATTGGCGGAGTCGTGCAACTTTGGTACATTAAAAGAAGAACTTATACGCAATCGCATCGTAATTGACATCAGGGACTCTCGTACGTCCGAGCGCCTGCAACTTATCTCGGATCTAAAAGTGGAAAAAGCGATCGATGTTGTAAGGCAAGCTAAAGTCAAAAGAAGGAAAAAATATGAGGAAAAATATTCCCTCCGAGCAAGCTAATATTAATAAAATATCAAAAAAAAAATGATTTTCATAAAAATAAAGGCAATTACAAAAATTACAATAGCAGTCACCATCATAATAATAATCGTAACAAATTCGATGACTGTGGTCGCTGTGGATTAAATAAACATAGTAATGTAAGCAAATGTCCGGCAAATAATTCAAAATGCCATAAATGCGAAATCAAAGGTCACTGGGATAAGGTATGCAGAACCAAGAACCCCAGAAGACATCATAATAATAACAGCCAACGTGTGAGAAGGATTGAAGAACAAGAAGAACATGACGACAACTCTGTTTTTCTGGGCGCCGTCAAGTCACATGAGTCATCCAAAGAAAGCTTCACGTTCTTCTCTGCGTATATCGAGAAATTCAAGCAGCCTAGGAAGTTTATTATCGATACGGGCGAAGATATTTCCTGCATGGCTGAAGAAAGCGTGCCAAATCAATATGTGAGTAAAATTAAAACTACTGAAAAAATGGTTTACGGCCCGACGGCAAACAATTGCCGGTCCTGGAAGTTTTAAACTTAAACTTAGCAAAAAATAATACGCACATAAATATGGATATTTACGTATTTAAACATTTAAAAAATAATTTGCTAGGCAAACCAGAAATTAAAAAATTTGATTTGATTGAAAAAGAGTAAAAAAATTGACTCGAATTTAAAAGTTGTTGTAGCCAGATCTACAACCAATAATAAAAGTAGTCCGCATGGCAACAAAATTAGGCCGCATGAATCTCGAAAAGTCTTTCGAAAGACGACACAAATGCGTGACCGCCGAAATTGCGACCAGTCTTTCGAAAGACTGCAGAAATGCATCACGCGAGAACATTGCGAAAAAGCCTATCAACAAATTCCTAAATTTGATGATCAAACCGAGCGTAATATTGATTAATCAATATCACGCAACCGATCGACGCAACCGATCAGAATGCTGATCGGGCATCGATCAGACTATATAACCTTTACACAAGGTTACACAAGGCGGAGTCGAGAGAGTCAAGAATAACGTGTCGTTCGAAATCATTATTATAATTATCGCGCAAGATATTACAAAAGCGCGACGAAGTTCACGCGAACCGTACTATCAGCATCTCAGGTGACATACTCGGTCGTCGGCCGCCAGAGTAACGCGATAACGCGATACGCGCCGAGCCACCCGCCGATATTTAACCGTGTGTAAAGTAATAAAATAAGAAATACTAACTCAAGAATTTATGCATTTATTAAATAAACTAATTAAAATAAAGAAAGTGTGTTAGTGAATTCAAGAAGATTTCCTTCCATTCTTTTGATCCTGCTCGGAGTCTCAATTCCTTAGGCTTAACGAACCCGACTATCTTTAATATTATCGTTGTAGCCCATCCGGGATACAACAGTATCTAAAATTTATCCATATACCGAATATCCACATCTCTTTAAAAGTGTAGGTTCATTTAAAAAAGAATTACATGTACACATGAAGAAAGATGTAAAATCATTCTTTCAATCAACGCCTCGCACAGTAGCAATTCCTTTGTTCAAAAAAGTTAAAACTAGAGAAACTTTAGTAAAAGACGGTACTTTAAAACTGGTTGATTTTTCCACAGATTGGTGCAGTCCAATCATAGTAGCCGCGTAAAGATTCGGATAAAATAAGGTTATGTGGTGACTTTTCGCAATTAAACAAAGGTATAAAAAGATCGCATTTTCCGGTTAAAAAAGTTAATAATATTCTTGCCAACCTGAAAGGCTCTAAAGTTTTCAGCAAACTAGACACTAAAAGCGGATTTCAAATTAAATTAGGTAAGGCTAGCCAGCCACTTACTACCATAATTACGCCTTTTGGAAGGTTTATGTATACAAGGTTATCTTTCGGGATAAATTGCGCAACCGACTATTTCGTAATACTTTTCAGAAATCTTGAGAGATATATCGGGCGTTGAAATTCATATCGACGATGTCATTGTCCACGCAGCGACAGTTGAACAACATGATAAAAATCTTCGTATAGTATTGGAAAGACTTAATAAAGTATAACCCATAACCCATAAAATATAACCCATAACCCTAAATAAGCAAAAATGTCAGTTCTGTGTTAATAAAGTTGTGTTTTTGGGACATGAGATTTCGCAAAAAGGTGTCGGCGTATTTCCATCCCGCGTGGAAGCAACTGTAAAATGCCCACCTCCTACCGACAAAGATTCTTTGTTGCAGTTCTTAGGAATAGTCAACTATGCGGGTAAATTTATCTCTAATAAATCACATATTTTAGAATCGCTTATTCATTATTAAAATCTAATGCTCATTTTGTTTGGCTAGAACCTCAAAAAAAGGCCTTTGAACAGATTAAAAAATTATTAATTGATGTACCCACTTTGCTCATTACGATTATACTAAACAAATTATTTTGCAAGCGGATGCTTCGAATTACGGTATAAGTGCAGCTTTAATGCAAATCGGCGAAAAGAACGAACGCGAAATAATCGGATTCGCGTCAAAACCATTGAACAGTACAGAAAAGAATTATAGCCAAATCGAAAAAAAGGCTTATGCACTAGCCTTTGGTGCGGATTATTTTAAAGAATATATTTTAGGTTTATATAATGTAATTTTAGAAACCGACCATAAACCGCTCTTGCAAATTTTACAAACCAAACAATTGAATGAATTAACTCCAAGACTTCTACGTATGAGATTAAGACTAATGCGATACAATTATTCCGTAGTTTATGTACCGGGTAAACAATTTGTATTAGCTGATTATTTATCGAGAAATATTAACATTATTACTTGCTCTGAGCAGGACGAATTTTATAAAGAAATAGGAAACTATGTGGAAGTAAACTGTAAGATTCTTGTACTTTTTAAATTTAAATAAAGTAACCGTTTTGTCAGGAATTAATGTCCGTTTTTATAATTATTGTCTATGATTGAATACACGCACTAAGAGAGGTGACCGGCACGTATTGGATAATGGAGCAGGCACAACAACTTTAATATAATGCGGTTTATCTATATTTTCACTGAGTCTACAACGTAATACAACTGTTATGCGGGTCGTTTCGATGGATCAAGGAGTCGGCGGGGAGGAGGCACTCACCACTTTTTTAATACCAATAAATTTTATTAACACTTGATACAGGTTGTCTTTTTTAATTCGGACCGCGACAGACGTGACGGCACGGCGGATCTCGACGAGTCCTCTCCTAGTATCGGTCTTCCGTTTTTATCCTGTTCCAGGCGGCCGGTCCTTGCCGTGTCATCAACATGTTCGTCAGCGTTCGCGGTATATTTCTGGGTCGCGCGGCGATTTTCCGCGTAAGGGTCGCGCAACCCGATTAACAGTTGCTTCACGTGGAACGATTACACAATATTTGCGCGATTAGCACGGTAGCGTTGGTAATCGCTATCGCTTGGTAAAATAATAATTCGTCGGATAAAGTATCGCTTGCCGCAATCCGCTTTGTCAGCGGTGAGCGTGATTGCGTTCTCGGCGCTCGCGACACAACGATTTAACAGATATCGCCTGTAACGATATCTCGATTATATTCACTACAATTACTACTTTCGACTATTCGACTTGAACTTTCGCGGATGACACGTCCGTATCATTCGCCGACTAGAGAGAGAGTCCCCGTCGTTCGCTGCTCCGCGCATCGGAGCACGTTCGGTGATTTCAAAGTTAACAAAGATTGCATCAGCCCTTGTCTGATTGGTCCTTTCCTAGTGTCACTCACTCGTGTCGTGTTCGATCGAGAGGCGCTCTTTTGGTTACTGAACAGCACTCATGGCGCCATCCACCGGTTGTCTTAGGGACTTCTTAGTAACTTTCTTACAGCTCGGCCATCCTGCATTTATGTTCGTCTTCGAAGATACATGTTTATCTATCGCTTTTTATTATCACAGTTTCACAGACGCATCTCTTATTTATAGTAATATCGCTTGTAAATAACGCAGTGTCTCTTATTTTCTTAATCTTAAATTTAAACAATTTTTAACCTAATCTTATTTCAACATAATCTATCTACATTGCTCTTATACTAATTAATACTATGTATGCCGTACTTAAAGTACATCTAATTTCCTTCGCTTGTCATTTCCAAGGTTTGAGACGATCGGATGAAAGAATTGTGTTAAATGGATGCGTTGTCAAGTTAAAACCAGGTATATCTTGCACAACGTAACGATGATTACCTAATATTTTTCCAATCATATACGGGCTTTTATATTTAGCCTTTAATTTCGCATTTACGCCCAGTTTCATTTGTGTGTCTCGTACTAGTACTATTCACCTGTTTCGAACTTGGACGGTTTTCGAAATCGTTCGTCGCGGTACTCTTTATTGTATTGATGTATTTTGTCCGTTGCTGTTAATGCCATATCACAATTTTTCTTTCTTTCAGTTTCTATATCTACATCGATTGACGTTAATTTTTGAGTAAATTTTGCAAGCGGATAGTCTGTATGGGAACGCTGACTGTACCCCAGTACAGTACCCCAGTACAGTGTTTTGTCGGAGACGTTTTTGTTACCGCATGGTAAGTGTTATTTATAATATGCTGCATGTCTTTAACCCTATCTTTCCATTCCGACGAATTATTTATTAACTTAGTTAAGAAACTAACTTAGTTAAGGAACTCTTGATAAATCAATTCACTCTCTCGACTATTTCATTAGCCCAGGGGGCAGCTACTGCAATTTTCCTATGTTTAATTCGATTTGCTTCGACAAATTCGCGAAATTCATTTGAAGTGAATGCCGTTCCACGATCAGTTACAACTTCAGTCGGATTTCCAAACGTTGCAAAGATATCTCTTAATATACCGAGTACTTCTCGAGTCGATGTGGATTTGACTGCATTTAACCAAGTAAAGCGAGAGAATGCATCGACTATGACTAGTATATGTTTATATTTATCACAAGTTTCTTGTAACGAACCGAAATGATCAATGTGAATTATTTCCATTACAGCCGTTGGGGACGGATACAGTGATGTCTCCCCTTCGAAACGATTCATGGAGTCATTAGCCATTAGACAGGTAATACAATTTTCTATATAACTATTTATGCGCTTACGCATACCGGGAAACCAAAAATATTCTTTTATCCCTTGTAATGTTTTCTCGAACCCTGCATGCGCCATTTCATCGTGATGAGCGCGTGACTCCAGATATCATTAATTCCGGTACTACGAATTTTATATCTTCATTTTCTTTTCTATAAACCAGACCGTCTATCAATTTAAATTTATCATCGACTTCATTCTCTAATTTATTTGCTATCTCTTGAATTTTAGGATCTGCCAATTGCCGAAATTCGAGCTCTCTTTCTATGGGGCGTTCGTCTATGTAACCCACGCGACTGAGAGCGTCGACATGTTGCATCTTATTACCCGGACGGTGAACAACTTTAAAATAATAATTTTGCAAAGCAAGCATCCACCGCGCTATTCGCGGGTTCAAATTAGCTTTATTCACGGCATAAACTATCGCGTTACAGTCAGTGACTATAGTAAAACGCAACCCATAAAGATATAAATGAAATCTCTCCACTGCTCTAGCCATAGCTAACATTTCTAACTCGTAACTATGATAATTTCTTTCAGCTCGATTCGTAGTCTGGCTGAAGAAAGCTATTGTCGCCCAATTATTATTCTGCTACTTCTGTAGCAGTATTGCTCCAAGGCCCAGATGACTGGCATCTGTATGCAGCTCAGTCTCTGCTGCTGGATTATACAAGCACAACACGGGAAATGAGGTAAGTTCTTTCTTTAAGTTTTCGAATGCCTTAATACATGTTTCATCGAAATCAAATGTAATACCTTTTTTTAGAAGATTTTGCATCGGCCCGGCTTTCACCGCAAAGTGTCTGATAAATTTTCTAAAATAACCGGCTAAGCCTAAAAATCTGCGCACTTCGTGTACGTCTTTCGGTTGTTTAAAATTTCGTACAGCTTCGGTATGCCGCGGGCTAAGAGTGACCCCGTTATATCCTAAGAATTCTATTTCTCTACGTAAGAATTGTATAATTTAATTCGAACTTATATTTTTTTAGATACTTCAACGTCTCGTTCAAGACAGCTAGATTCTGGTCTACGGTTTCCGACGGTATAAGAATATCATCTATATAAACGATAACCTTGTTTTGCCGTATGAGCGAATCCAATATTTGCAAAAGACGCTTCTGGAATTCCGCAGGAGCTTCTGAATACCCGAATGGTAAATATTTGTATTCGTATTGCCCATCAGGCGTAGCGAAAGCAAAATACTTTGTACATTCCTCATGTACTTTGATATGATGAAACCGTCCTTCAAATCTAACAACGTAAATACTGACTTTCCATAAAGTCTCGACAAACAATCCTCGATTACTGGAAAAGGGTACTTCTGTTTTATTACTCGACTATTTAATGGTCTCAAATCGACACATAATCTGATCGCGCCGTTTTTCTTTTTAATAGGTACGATCCTTGCGCAATATGGTGAGATACTCGGCTGGATAATCCTTCGATTCAACAGGTCATCCACGACTTCCCTTATCTGTAGCCGTTCGACATACGCAAATCGTCGCGGCGCAAAAGCGTATACAGAGTCGTCCTTCAAATGAACGCGAACGGAATAACCGTCTTCAATCGGTATTACTTTCAAATTCTCTACTGCTAATATTTCCTCCATCAATCGTTTCTTTGTCTTTAAATCGTAATCTATTTCGCTATCTTGTATTACTTGTTGCAAGTTGCTAAGCGAATCCGCAACATAGAGAGGTAGGTTGTCAAAGAGAGACACATCAGCCACCGGCTCGCCAACCTCCGTCTGGTGCAACTTATATACTAGAGTGAGTTTTTCTTTTGCTATAAAATCTCTTCCTAAAATTAAGTCGCCGTTAAACGCTTTTTCATTCATTACATATATTCATTACATATACATTTATTACAAACTTACGACCGCTCAGGGCGCTAATCGTTAATTCTACTGGAACGATCCCGATTATATTTAGTGGAGCGCGATTTAAGTTAACTAGACAGCGATCGATTGGTAAGAGAACCTTGGTGTATGGCTCGATTCGCTCTATATATATATCTAAACTAACAAAAGAAACAGGACTTCCGGTGTCCATTAACGCCACTAACTCACATGCTTTTTTACAGATTGAGTTCACCTGGATGAATGATCTGGACAGTTCCAACCGCTGCTGTTTTCGTCCTCCGATACCAGAGCCACCGAATCTCCCTCTGCTTC